ACAAAACAAAGAAATGCCAAGTAATTATGTTTAAAGGCATGCACACAATTTGTGGTGATAGTGTGTCAAGTGAAAATCAGAGATTTGCTTCGCATGAAGTATCACAATGGACTGAAGCCTAGCACCGTCTGCCAGCTTACTTAAGAGTTTGTAGGTGGCAGGTGCGCATGACATGCTGCCTAATACTTTTTCTGTGGCTGCTTTTTATATTAATTTCTCATGTTTTTCCAGAGCTTTTCCCAGTTTTTGAATGTATGCAAATCTATACCCTATAAACTTTAAAATGATAAATAATGTGTGGGTATATAGTAAACGCAAATACCTTAAAACCTTCTGAGACTATCTACTCCTTAGTGTATTAGGGTATAGATTTTTTTTTTACCTAGAATGGTTTCTATTTATCCCCGTATGTTCCTAATAAAATGGCAGTTGTGAAACTGCTGTCTGGGCAGTATCCTAATATCTTCTATGTTCTTGAGTTCTGATAATGATGAGTGAGGAACCTTACATTGGGTCCATTTTCTCCTTCACGCGCTCCCCTCCAAACCCATCTACAGTTATGAGTCTACTCACCGAGTCAGTGCAGGGGACAAACAACCTCAGAAACAAAACACAGGACAGAACCCAGACTGGGTGTAAGTGTTATGTGTCACTCACAGGCGGAGTGGTTGGTCCTGGGAGGAGGTGATACAGGGACAATGCCAAGTATTACAGAGTGTGTACACATGAACTAAGTAGACTTAAAATAAGGTGACTTCCCTAAGAGGCTGAGGCTGAGAGGGCTGATGCTGGGCAGACAAACTAATCTAGAGTAAGGTCTGTGAGGCACGGACATGACTGTGGGGGAGGCTGGAGGCCATGATTAGGACCCTTAAGGCATAGTTAGAACTAAGAGGGTCACAATTAGTGCTGCAAGGCAATAAGGCTTGGAGAGCCAGGATCAGTGCCTAGAGGGCAAGTTTGATACCAGTAAGACATAAAAATGCAAGGCAGCCAGTAAAAGAAACTTGTCAGCGAATGGAGGGTCTGGTGGCAAAGAGGACTCGGGATCCAGTAAAGAAAGGGAAGGGAAAGGAACCTATAGGCAGCATCACCAGGATCAGTCCAGGGCTCTGGGGCAGGCTCCGTATATGATAAAATGTAGCAGGCAAGACAGCAAAAGGGAGTACACCAAAGAGCTGGAGTGAGGGGGAGGATTAGTTTGGCCATTAGGGCTTGCCACAGCCTGGCCAGACCTATCCCAAGCATTCACTTCCCATCGTTCTAGTTTCCTGGTGGCTTCTGTGGTACCCTGGCTTTTGGCCATGTTAATTAGATCCCCGCTTGGGTGATGAATCCTCTTTTCCCAGTATTCTGTTACTCTTTTCTCTCTCCCAGACTCTGGCCCTGTTGAAGGGGTCATCAAAACCCCATCCCCTGCCCTGAACCCATTCTAGGAGGGAATGACACAGCGCAGCCACCAGATAACAGTCAATATATGTTTGTTCCAGTGTGAAACAACCAAGACATTTCAGTGTCGATATATAAGAGTTCTGGGGTATTGTCTTGGACGAGGCTTGCTCCTGGCTCTGGGGCTTCAGAGGCTTCATGATTGTAGGAGATGGTGGGACGTGTAGAATGCCTGTGAAAACAAAGTAATAAGCTAAAGGAGTCACCCAGTGTGAGCGAGATAGTGATTTGGGAAGAGGCAATGGTAAAATTAGCAAACCAGAGGTAAGAGAGGTGAGGCATTGAGTGGGAAAAGAACCATGGACAGCAGGAGCTGCTGAGAGGATGTGAATCTAGATCTACTTGAAAAGCCAGTAATAAAGGCTCGCGTTGTTCTGCCACCCTTATATGCAAACAGGAGTGTAGTTTTATAACTGTGTTGGTCTAAGCACATAGACAAGGTTCTTTGGGTGAATCTGATTTCTTTTATTAGACCAACGCAAATAGTTGGAAAAATTCTTCTTAGCAATCTTCCCTGCTGATCTCTTCCCATGATGACTAGTGAATGCAAGTTGTAATGGGTAGGCTTCAATAGGAGTCCGGCCAAGGTGTAGCCCATACCCTGGTGGTTAGAGCACTCTTAGCTTGCACATTCAAGCCCCCTCTCTGGGAACCCTACATCTCCTGACTACTCTCCAAATGCCCTAACCGCTAGGCTAAGGGACTGAAATATGGAAGAGCCTCCGTAATCCTGCCCCCCCTCCATTTTAACACCAGGGGTGTGCTCAGAGCAGTTCTGTCATAGTTACTCAAATCCAAGACAGTTGTTTCTTTTCTCTTCATTCAACATACATCACCCATTGTATGCTGAGACTATCAAGGGGTGTATCATCTGGGGATTGAATATAAATAAAATAAAACTAATTAAAATGTGCTGCAGGGGTAGAATACTAGCATGAAAGCTGCCCTCCATCAAGAGAAGTGCACTATCTGGAAGGCTGGCTAAGGAACAAACACCTCAGAGGTCACAACTTCGGCTGATACTGGAAAATGCCTCTCTCCAGTTATAACAGATGCCCAAATTTCTTGGCAGTGTGAGTATGATAAAGTATTGCAAATATAACCGCTCTGCACAGCTTTAATTCATTTTTCATTAAAATAATCCAGTGGTACTGAGTGGAATCCACAGCGTCAAAATTGTGCTCCCCTGTTGAGTCTTTGTGAGTTCTTTGCAATAGAAGAATTGGCTCTATTGTTTTTACTGTAGTCAAGAAATAAATGAAAGTTAAGAGGTGACATTTTCAGTGGGTACCTTGAATCTAGCAGGAGCTGCCTCGAATGATGACTCTGAAATGCATGCTAAACTGTGGCCTACCCACAAAAGTTAAAATACAAAATACTGATGCTAACTACATAGTGCAAGAGGATGTGAATTCATGGCTAGGCCATCTGGGAAGAAATAATGAGGTATCAGTTCCAGCTTGTATTACTATACTCATGATGATTTTAAGGAGGCTCCTGGTTGTCTGGTATATAACCGTGTGAAATGTCTATCCTGGATTAATTAGTATGGTAAATATTTCTTTTGCAATGAACTCATGTTATGTGCAGGAAGAGTCATTCTCCATATGTGATAAATGTCTCCTCCTGATTTACTTTTGTTTTGCTGTTTCCTCCTGATTTACCTTGTTTTGCCTAGCAGTTCCCTTGGTCTTCCAAGGACACTCCCCAAAACTTGTGTTTTTCCTGGTTGTTAATCAGTTTCTTGATACGTTCCAAACGTAGTAGAAATGGATAACCTCTTGTCACTGAGAAACAAAGTTCAAATTGGAACTTGCTGATAACCAATAATGAGCAGTTTGGTTAACAGGGTTTTCCTGTTGATTAGTGCTTGGGACTCTCTCTTGATTTACACAACTACAAGAATGCTTTGAAGATGCTGGATTAAGATATAAGAAAGATGTGGAAGAGCTAACAGGGCATGCTTCGAGTGAGAAATCTCTCTGACACCAACTATTGCTGCACCCAGCTTACCCGAGAAGTTGAAGAGAAACAGATGGCCTTTTTGTCACCTGTTTGGTGAGAAATCATCACCTTATAGCTAATTATTGGACTTTGATTTGGGCTCATTTAACCTTGAATACTTGTAGTAAATAAAGCCTTTCTGTCATTTATCCAATGAGCGTTTGTGTCAGTCCTCTGATAGTAGTCCAGGACCCCATGTTTTTATTTGCTAACATTGAGTTTGAAAATGTAGATCCTTTGCTAATTTTTAATGGCCTGTTTCAGGTTCCTGATCATTGGTACCTTCCCTACTAATTTTTAATAACTTATTTGGGAATTACATGGAAAATGAACTAATTTGGGCAATTTCGGGGTAGATTTTACATCAGTATCTGACACTTAAAAGAGGGAAGAGCATCTTTTCAGGGGCATTTATATCAATAAAATAAAACTAACAAAAATTGCTGATTTCCTCTTTGTCTGACTTTGACCTGGACATTAGGAAATCAGGATAATGCTTATGTTAAAACACTGAGCAGATTTGATGCCAACGTTTAGGAAATAGAGGGAGAACAGGGAACACGAGACTGTTTGTCTGATAATTCAGAAGAAAGAGCAATACCTGAGGTGAATTTTAATCAAGTTCCAGTATCTAGAGAGAGACAAGGAAATATAAGGATCTTTTCTTCTGCTCGCATCTGAAAATTAGAAAATGCCAAACTGTGGTGTACACAAGGTTTTGTGTAAATCCAGTACCTTTTATTAAACTAATTCAGATAGTTGGAAAAAGTCTTCTTTGCGAGCTTTTGGGTACAAACACCCTTTGTCAGGCCAAGGAGGGATGCAGACGGTCTGTGCTGGTGCTGGATGGAGTGGCCTTGCATTGTGTACTGGCCTCGGGCTGCTTTACTGCAGATGCTTCCTCAGCCTGGTGAAGGGGGTTGTACCCGAAAGCTTGCGAACAAGAACTTTCCCTCCTATTTGAGTTCGTCTAATACAAGATATTGGATTTCCCCAAAGGACCTGTCTGCCTGTGTCCCGAGACCAACACGGCTACAACCTGCACCCCTGAAATGTGGTGCCTGTCATTTACACAGTGAATGTGTCAGTTTTACTTAGAAACCATGCGAGTCTTAAGCAGGATGGAGTATTAAGGAATACAACATAATCCCGCACCAAGGAGAAATAAGTCCGGTTGCCACTTCCCCCGCAAAGCTAAGGAAGTGTCGGGCCATTTTTAAACGGAGAGGGAAATGTGTGCGTCTTGATCTTTGTACAGCAATATTTATTGTAAAGAGAGAATACAGAAAAGACGTGGGTGATTTTACATATCCGTGCTGATGTATAGAAAAAAACCATGCCATCTCAGGACAGCAGCCAGTTGTGACCTGTCGCATCCCCCCCTACACCCGCCCCGGCTGCCGAAGGAAACCGGGCGCCGCAGCGGGGCAGGAAGGGGCCTGGGCAGCGGAAGCGGAAGTAGCGGCGCTGCCGGGTGTCCGGGCCGGGCCGGGGCTGGTGGTGCGGGCCG